TTTCACAGTTTCTTTTTATAGCAACAGTGATTCATACACCAAAACTAGTCTTCAAAGAGATAAAACAGATTATATTTAAGTTTATTTGGAACGGGAGAGACAAAGTTAAAATGAATACACCGATCTCCAGTATTGAAAATGGGGGTATTACTATGATTGAAGTTGACTCTGTCATAAAGACAAAAAAAAAAAAAAAATAGGTTAAACAATTTATCTTTGGTGGTTTTTTGGATGGCAAACTATTATGGATGGGGTTTTAGGGAGTTTTGGGAGTAATATTATTCTTTTGTGTAATATTGAGATTAAAGAGTTGATAAACAAGGTCCCACTCTTCTATTATGATATTTTACAAGACTGGTCACAAATTACTCATATAAATCCTGAACCTGTACAGCAAATTGATAGCCAGATACTTTGGAATAATACATTTTTAAAGATTGCTAACCACTCAGTGTATTATCGGGGATTGGCAAACAAAAATATTAATAGGATTGGGGATTTAATTGACACCAATGGAAACTTTTATAATTGTTTTTTCCTGAATAATAAGGGTATTTCTCAAGTAGAATTTTTCCAAATTCAGGGTATAGTAGATGCTATTCCAAGGGAGTGGGAAAGCATAATTCATAGAAACAGACATACAAAGGTTGATTATGGTGAAAGGATTTATTGCAAGTCCTCCTATATAGATATTAATTCAATTACAAGTAAACAAATTTATAAATTGTTATGCAGAGATATTGTTGAGACTCCAACCATTGTCAGCGGATTTTAAGAACTGTATGGTGTATCCTCTGAAATGAGTAATGTGATATTTACACTTCCTTTTCAGACAACTATAGCTTCAGCCATGAGAGCTTTTCAGTTTCAAACTTTACATAGATACCTACCTGTTAATGCAAAATTATTTGAATGAAGCCTTGTAAATTCTTCTTTGTGTTCACTCTGCCAATTGTATAATGAAACAATTGAACATCTTTTAGTTGTCTGTCACAATGTTCAAAAATTATGGCATGCATTGCAGGCAGGGTGTAGTATTATTCAACGAATACAGTGTGATAAAGTAAATATAATTTTAGGTATTTTAAATGAAGACAGTCTAATTTTGAACCATTTCATTTTACTGTTCAAAAAGTATATTTATAGCTGTAGAAGAAATGCTACAATCCCTTCTGCAAATGCGTTTAAATCACTAGTCCGTGAAAATAGAAAAAATAGAGTTGGAAATAGCCCTATATAAAGGAAAGGAACAATATCACTATCGTAAATGGGAGTTCTTAAATAATTGGTTGGCTTAAATACAAGTAAATTAATCTTGTTTTTGTTTTTGTCTCACCACCGTATACCAGACAGGGTTTGTCATGTACATTATTTTTTTTCCAGGGGGGATTTCATCGTCTTCTCTGTAACCTTTTCTTCATTGTGAAATAACAAAAAATGTTATTAACACACACACAAAAAAACATTAAAATCACCACAAAATGCACAGTTTAACAGAGAATGAATTTCATTTTCAAATTTATCCGTATTACAAAAACAATAAATTCTATTTTCTATCACTTTTATTCCTGAATCGACCAGAATACAATACGTAAGTGCGCAGTCTTGCCTATTCAACAAACTTACGTTCACCTACATCTTTAAATTCACGTGATTCCATACCCATAAATGTATCTTCACTCTCCGGGGAAAGTTTTTAAAATGTACCGTTTTCCTGATGACCAATTTTTATTCCCCATATATTTTGTTTATGTGGTGATTGTTCATAACAATCAGAGGCGATTCCACAAATGCATCTTTTCTACCCACCTGATATCTTTACACAACTTTGACGCCCAGTGTCTCCATTCACTGCAAGTGTGAGGGCAAATCAATTGACCCCTAGGATAAATCTTATTGAACGTTGTTGAAAATATGCAAAAGTCCGTGCAGAAGAAAAATAATTGTATACAAGTATTATAGCAGTATCGTATAGATCTTAGAAGTTTCGAAATCCGTATTTCCTAAATATTTAAATTCATTGATAATTCCATCTCTTGCATTGCTTCCATACATGTGTAGTTTCCTGGTAGAGATGGACGGTCAATAAAACGCCCAAATAAATCAGGTTATGAATTAGCCTAGTTTATAATCACAAGAGCCTTTGTTATCTCTTTTATTTTGAAAATGAATCACATTTTTTGTTCAGATTGACATGCAACTAACATTGACTGCATGTTAAAGGGCGGCAGTCGTCGCGCCGCGTCCTGTTCGATATGGGACTCATAGCGACGTACACAACGCGTGTAAAATACATTGTTTATTTACATGAAATTCGAACACGCGCTGCGCGACGACCGCCGCGCTTTAACGTGCAATTCGGTATAAGTGTGGAGTAGATAACAAGTTCAGTTGGTGGACATGTTTGTAGGTACCTTTATTACCCGCTCTCTCAGGGCTATATTCAAACGCCTTCTGTTGTGGGAAACAGTACCTATTCTCGGGCGGACATCCGGGCATTTTCACCACCTGGCAACCATCACGTTGAAAACAAAGGCCGAAAACTTTCAGAAATCGGTACTTTGGGATGATTGTTGAGACTCCCCTGAACAGTGTAACAAGATCACTCCTGCATGTCCAACATATATAAATTTAGTTGCCCAGGACTACTTCAAAGTTGATTTTGTGCTGTTTTCTCGAATATAGCTATTTTTACCGGCTCTAAGAGCCCATAGAAATACATGGTACAGAGGTGCGCGTCCTAGCAACGTGGAACGTCTTGTGACGTAGCTCTGTCCCCGAGGATAGTTTGATATCATGTCGTAAAAGTTACGTGGTCGATATAAACAATTCTGGAAAACATGAACTCATATGTAATTCAACTTAGTTAAAGGGCGCGCGGTGGTCGTCGCGCCACCTCCGACGCATGTGCAAGATTTATGCTGATAAACGGAGATTTTTTTCCCACAATCCGAAGCGCTGGATGTCCTCCATCTAGGAAAGGCAACTAGTGGCATGTGCTCATCTCTGGTGATAACCAGATCATCAATAGACAAGTTTGGGGTCCCCAAAAAACGCAGTTTTAGACAGTTATTTTACTAATAAGTCCAGCCCGGCTTTGTACTGCACACGTTAATTCTGTATTATACGTTATACTATGTTTTTATTTGGTGAATATGAATCAGAATGTAATCTTTGGTTAGTTTGGTCTGATCCTGATCTACCTTCTACTCATACATTATTTTGCATGGAATTATCATCCGATGTGGCGCTGTGGGTCGTTCATTATTGTAATAATAACGATCTCCAGCATCTAAAATATATACTAAATGAACTCACGAAGGTAAATGGCGCCCTCATTTGGTCAAAATGTTACTGCATTCCCACTTCGTATCATATGCAGAACACCTGCCACTGATTATTGTGATGACCATGAAAAGTGATAAAATCAGTTGCTATGCCAACAAATCATGAGCACTGAAACTAGCCTGCGCTGGACAGGTTGTTGTGTTTGAATCACTAAATCAAAAATCATTTTCATTGTAATTTGTACCCAATCATGGGTTCAAGAATTCTGTTGGATATAATTTCGCATAAACTACACACATCTCAAAGCCTTTCTGATGTTCCGAAGGTGAATGGTTTGTTGACAGATCGTATAAGGTTGAGATGTAAATTGCTACAATTGGCATATATAAGTCAAGGTCATTAAAGGGCGGCAGTCGTCGTGCCGCGTCCTGTTCGATATGGGACTCATAGCGACGTATACAAAGCGTGTAAAATACAATGTTTATTTACATGAAGATCGAACACGCGCTGCGCAACGACCACCGCGCTTTAAAACATCAGCGAGTCACTAGGACCACTGTCACCAGTACCAGTACGTTGTGCACCCGAATGCTATAATTCAAACCAAAATAATTATTTACTAGTAACTGGCTCATTTGCATGTCACATGACGGATGGCGCGTAATGAAACGAGTTACTCGAGAAAGAGAATCGAGATTCCGACAATGATCCCGCAGCCGACACTGATCGGCCACGTGTACGCTATTAGTAGCTACTATAATTTTACACATGTATACGGGTAGTAACGGTGATTTACTTGACTTAAACCGTACAATATCTCAATCAGCGTAACCGTGGTCACGCCCCAATACGTAACACGACTTGTATGTCGTTTATGTGCGTGCTCCCACTACGGTAGGCTGGCCCAGCTGTGGTGATTTTTTTTTCAGTCAAATTTCAATAATGAAAAATTTGGGAAAAAATAGTTTTGTGAAATTTGGGGTAAACGCGAAACTATCTCCATTCGCGATATTTCTATTTAATTTAAACTGTAAAAAGAAATAAATTGCCCAGATTGTGCCAGCCTACCTCATTGGAGTCCATCCAGATTACGACACTGCCTCCAACGGTACGTTACTATTCACGGCACGGTTCAACCACAGCTTGGTTACTCAAACATGATATCATCTGTGCATTTGCATATTTGGACACTCGGTATTTAGAGTCTTTTCAGACATATCAAAATTTCGTGAAATTCCTGAAATATTGGACAAAAGAATACTTTCTCTCTAGATAGCCAAGCCGCGGCGATTCAGATAGATAGGGTACATATTTCCAATAAGCGTGGCCCATTTAAAAACGCGGGGGGGGGGGGGGTTGGGTTAAAACTGACTTTTTCGCCTGAAAAGAAAAAAAAAGTCAGTTCACAGAGGAACGAAAAAAACAAAACTATTAAATGGCCACCCATTTTAAACTCTTGAGACACCTTATAGACGAACGTAAAAACGCAAGTGGTCCATAATTTAACGATGGGACACACCGCGTATAAAAGTCGTGTAGCGACATGTAAAAGGGGTCACAGACAGATTAACGAGATCACAGCGACAGTATTCCATACCACAGCACTGACAATAACGCCCTCGGCGTGCTGATTCAAGGGCCTCGATACATACAATTATAACCGAGATCTCAGGACAAATACCTGTATAGTATTCATAAGCTGCGTAATCATGGACGATACTTAGGCTGAACTACGGACACGACTTGGTAGATCATGGAACTACGATGTCTTTTTATTTTATTCTCACTCACCGCTGTTTACGGTAAGTTAGTTAAATGACTCAATTTCGAGCGTATTTTTTTAAATTATACAGCAAGCAGGCGAAAGCGTTGTGACAATACTTCCTCTTAACTTCCTTCTGTTGTCATTGTACACCACATATAAAGTGAGATTTTTGTCTCTGGTATGTTTGTATATTCTGTGACGGCAAATGAATCTGAATAGCGAAAACAAGTGTGTGGCAGTCTTCTATTTACCCGATAGTTTATTTGGTTCGTGTGACGGTGTTATTATAATCGCGTAAGTAGATATTGACTGCGTCATTGTATTGGGTGACTATTCTGTTTTCATACTTACATTACAAGCGGCGGCGAACCCGTTTTGAACTCCCAGGGCGACTTATTTAAATCAAACGTACTGTGAAAATCGGGAAATGATATGGTAGGTCATCAAGCGCGAGTATTGAACTTGAAACAGGTCGGCGACCATGAAGACAGTTGGTGTTAACTAAAGCAGTTATTCGTTTTGGTAAAACAAACACTATTAGTAACAGTCACGGTGATCCTACAAGAGCAACTGTTTTGCGTCGATGCAGGCATTTTTCAGTGCTTCTTATTTAATTGAGTGCTGAATGTAAATGATAATAATAAACAACAAGAACAATATCGTGACGTTTAGTATATACCATTTCGTTTGTCAGTTGTAAAGTTACAGCCGTAGCACTACAGATGTACTTGCGTGAATAAATAACGACCGGTACTGTGTAGTCTGAAAACGTTGATATTTAGGAAAATATCGTCTTAGAATTTTAGCCCAATCTTTGTACTGGACACAACCAAGTCGTAACGGGCACGAATTGATGTGAGCTTGTAGTAATTTAAAAATTGTCCACGTCGTTCTTCGATATTTTTTGGCGTTATTCCACCCCTGAGGCACACACACACCACGTGACTACGGTGTACACGACTCACTGATGCATACAATCTATTTTGTGTACCAGAACCTTCATCGAGTTGTTTACCTTCGCAAACCATGAACAGTGCATTTCTACTCATAATGATCATTCATGCTTTACTTCATAGCGAGAAAGTGGCATGTATGTCTATTGTAGTTTCATGGTATGTTTGTTTTACACTGCCTGGCAGGCAGACGTCGGGAACTACACTGTCACGAATACCAGAAAGGGCAAATAAAAGTTGAAACACTCGTTGCAAAATGTTGTGTTGAAAATCCAAGGATTCTTGGTGTTCACGTGACCTCACGCTCAACTTTGTATAACCTCGAGTTTTGTTTTTTCGCCAGTCGCGTGTTCACGGGGCCATGCCACCTGTTGGCTATTCTTAGGACACTTATTATTGAAACGACGCCATGCATTATAGGCATGAAACAAAAACATCCTAAAACCATATACACGAAGTATGTAATTTGTGAAAAATTAAACAGTCATAAATTACGGATTTTGATGAATATAATGTGGGTAAATGATCTATGACATACAAATTAAACTATACGTCCCCATGGCTCGATAAATATATGCATCTCCGATCCCCCAGTAGTCGAAACCCACTGTGGCTGTCTATCGCACACATTCGATCAGGTCCAAAAAAACTGTGAGGGCACGGATCTAGAAGCCGTACCTACACACGAATTGGTGACGTCACAAAATACATGACCTTCAATCGGGGTCGTTTCCTCGGTATATACGAATTGGTAGATACAAATTACAATAAAGATACTTAAGACATTACACATAAGGTAAAATAAATCATGTGACAATATAATGATAATAACGGTAATAAATCCTAGCTTAACAGTTGAACAGAACGATCATATAGTCAGTCGGGTGACGCCGAGGGACACGCACTTGTTGCAAAATGGCCGTGTGGTTGAAACTGGGTCATGGCGTGACGGGCGAGGAGACATCATTAAACACTCTCAAATCACATAAACAGGAAGTGGTTGCATATACGGCGTAGCCACATGGGAATAAAAATCGC